GTGAATCTGCAAAAAAGTTTTTTTTCTATAGAATAGTGAAACGATCAATTGTAATAACTAGATATTGAAGGAACCGTACCTAAATCTCATCAGTTCGGATCTCATAGACTCAAAATATAAAGAAGATGTATTTAATAGAGACGTACACTCTAGGAATAAGCTTATAAAGATGACACAATTCGAATCGGCTCGACATATCAGTGCGCGGTTCATTTTTTATAAATTATCAATACCATTTTATTCCTTCGATCGTTTCATACAACAAAAAAGTCATTAGGCCAAAATGCTTGTAAACGGAATGTAAAATAAATACTTATATATTGTGGATCGGACAAATCTTAAAAGTGGAATGCAAAATAAATACTTATATATTGTGGATCGAACAATCTTAAAAGTGGAATGCAAAATAAATACTTATATATTGTGGATCGGACAAATCTTAAAGCATTTAATTGACTGTTCAAATGAGCATATTGCCTGAGAAAGTTGTAACATCTTTGGTCAGTAATGGCAAAATACGAGTGGAATGAAAACTGCAATCGAAAGAGATAACGTTTTTACAATACTAATACGAGTACAATGAAGAAATTAATTAAACATCAATTACTTATATGAAAATCTTTGTTTACAAATAAAAATATCGACTGACACCGCTAAGTGAGTCGTCCACTTGATACGGTTCCAATGGTTGGTATGCTTTTTAACTACTAACAAGACAGCGGCAAATCTCATATGTCCAAACAGTGACGACTAATTAAGTACCTTTAAATTAAATTATTTTAGGCAGACAGACTTATGTGAGTTAAAAAGGTTATCTCTGGCCATGCAAGATTTCAATCATCGTTTTTATGATAACATATTATAACTAAACTTACTCACTAGGACAAAAATAACTTAAAACCATGAGTACAATATTGAATGTACAATAAATGTACCTACAGTTAAACCGCCGTAAGCTTGGCCCTCCCGATGGTTTACGGAACGCGGGGCGCGTGATTCGCTCGGCTATACACGACACGATGTACTAACTAGATATCTTCAGATTTATTGTTTTTGAGATTTAATCTACACACGATGGATTTTCCATGTATTATAATTTCAGTATATTGTAAGTTTTTATGATTAATTGTAAAAATTTAATACTTGTAAAATAATTTTAGTAAAATCACCTTATCTTTATCATGTTAATTATGTTCAGATACAATTTAAATATGAAGTAAAATGAAATATATTCTTTATTAGAACTTTTATAGAAGAACCTCTGTAAGCCAAACTTCAAGGAAGACGCCAAATAATTCGAGTTATAGAGTTTTAGACTTACGGAGGTATTCGACTTAGGCGGATTTTGTAAGGAAATAATCGACTTGTAAATGTTTAGCTTCTTTCTTTGACCATTTTCAATTTTCTTCATGTTGTTTGATTCCTTTTTGAATATTGTTAACAGAGTAAGTGTACTCATTGATACGCTTACTTTAAAGGGTTGGCATAGGGACGTCGCCTAATTTCATGGGCCCCGTCGTGGTCCACCCCTCCAGCCGGTCATCGCCGAGTGGGCAGGGCGGCAGCACGGGACCCTTTCCTTCCGGCTGACGCAGGTGCTTTCCGGGCACGATTGCTTCGGAAAGTACCTGCACTCGGTCGCTAGGAGGGAACCGCCTGCCACCACTGCGACCCTCACTGCAGTCATCGGAGTGGATCTCTCGCTACCGGCCGTAGTACGCTCCATGGCCGGTAGCGACAGTTGTTTTACCGCGGTCGCAACCTTCTGCGAGGAAGTAATCTCGCAGAAGGAGGCAGCGGAGAAGGCCCGGGAGGACGACCTCCACTCGGGCCCGATCCGCCGCCGGCGAACCGGGCGGCGGAGGCGCGCTTATCACCGCCTCATGCCGCCCTGAGTGTGGCCGCGGGTGGACGGGGTGGGTTTCCCCTCCACCCGCATTAGTTTGGCCAGCCGCGAGGGGGCGGCGTCCGCGTATGCCGGACGTCGCCTAAAGAGAGGAAAAATATACTGAGACGGAGCCCGCACCAGGAGCGGGCTGGCGCTAGGAGGGGTCCGGATGTCTTAACAACAGCTGTTCCCGGATCCCTCCTGTTACAGGCGCAGAGTGGCACACCGTGTGGTTTTAGTCGGTCCGAGTCCGACACACCACCCCGCCGCAAACCCCGGAGGGGTGACGGTCCGAGGGGATTTCCACACGTTAAAAAAAAAAAAAAAAAAAAAAAAAAGGGACGTCGCCTAAAGAGAGGAAAAATATACTGAGACGGAGCCCGCACCAGGAGCGGGCTGGCGCTAGGAGGGGTCCGGATGTCTTAACAACAGCTGTTCCCGGATCCCTTCTGTTACAGGCGCAGAGTGGCACACCGTGTGGTTTTAGTCGGTCCGAGTCCGACACACCACCCCGCCGCAAACCCCGGAGGGGTGACGGTCCGAGGGGATTTCCACACGTTAAAAAAAAAAAAAAAAGGGTTTGTTTTAAGTTTTTCTTATCTTTGCAGTGTTGTTGTCCTTCGTAGTTTGCTCCCTTAGTCGGCTCTTACGAAACCCACGGGATGAATAGGAGTGGTGAAACTCCGTATTCTTACGAGGGTGGTCTGAAAAGTTTCCGACCTCAACACGAAGATGGCAGCACTCGTGAATAAAAGCTAGTGAATTTCGTTGTGTATCTGTTGACAGTTACTTGCCAAAGTTTCAGTCATTTTTTCAGTTGTTACGTAACAGTCGTTTGAGTGAGTTGATGTGAGTGTTTTTATGACAATGGACAAAATCGAGGTGTTTAATGATGTTTTTTTTTGTTTTTGAAAGGCAATACGTATACGTAAATCAAAGATGAGTTAGATTCTGTGTATGGAGACTCTGCACCATTATTTACCACAGTGAAATTTTGAGCAGCTGAATTTAAGCCGTAAGAGCTTGGGAGACGATGAACGTTCGGGACGTCGAAAAACTGCAACTATCGACGAAAACATCGCCAAAGTTCACCAAATGGTGCTAGACGACCGCCGAATTAAAGTGAGAGAGATAGCAGAGGTTATGAACATGCCAAAAGAACGTGTTTGTCAGATATTAAATCAACATTCACACATGAGAAAGCTGTCCGCACGTTGGGTGCCGCGTTTGTTCACGTGTCTAACGTATCGTGTCGTCTCGAATGAACATTTACAAACGCTCTGTTGGCGCAGTGTATTACTGTAAACGAAACTTGGATACACTATTAAACGCTCGTTAAAAAATACAGTCCAAACAGTGGACTGCAAAGGGGGAACCGGCTCCAATAAGGGCAAAAAACTGTTTTTTCGGCTAGGAAAGTAATGGCGACTGTTTTTTGGGATAGTCATGGAGTTATTTTAATCGATTATCTCCAAAAAGAAAAAACCATTACATATTACGCATAATTACTGGGCAAGCTAAAGGCAGAACTTGCGGAAAAACGGCCACATTTGCAGAAAAAGAAAATCCTGCTTCACCAAGACAACGCACCGTCTCAAGCCTCAGCGGTTGCCATGGCGAAAATCCACGAATTACGGTTTGAACTGCTTGACCATCCGCCTTACTCACCAGATCTACCCCCAAGCGACTTCTTGTTCCTTCATGTAAAAATCGCTCGGTGGGCAGAGATTTTCGTCAAATGAAGAGGCAGTCAACTTCGTTAACAATTATTTTGTGTTTGTGACGCAGAGTCGGCAGACTATCCATGTTGCAAAATAATACCGTGTGTAGCAGTCTTAAGAAAAATAACACGTATAGCGATGATTTTACGTCAGTCACTGCCGGTGAACAGCGACACACTAGCTAATTGGTTGAGCGTACCCCGCCCCGCAAACTATCGGGAGGACCAAGCTTACGGCGGTTTGACTATAATACCCTTTGATTTTCTTGTAAATACTACTTAAGTGCATAATTAATTATCTAATTACATGTATTTTTGTTCGAAATGATTAAGTGACTTCTATTAATACTGTTAGACAAATATCAAAATTTGATACTAACAAAAATACTGATGTAATTGTAATGAGTTTGATTTGTATCGCATAGTGCGCTGAGTGCAAATATAACGAGCAATATATGTAGTTGACACGGATTGTGCATAAGCTTAAAGCTAAACAATGATTATAAGGAGGTTCATAATATATTGTTGCAAAGCATTTAACCGTAACTCTACGTTTACTTCTACTTAACTATCACACAAAAGTTGAACTTTTGTAATCTATAAATTAATAGGCCACGAAAAGACAGTTAAGAACCATTCTTGTTTGATTCGTAAATTGTTTTTATGTTTAGTAGCCGTATTGAGTATTTTGCCTGATATTCATAAAAATATTCTTTTTTTTTTCAAGATAAAGTAGTAATTATAGTCGATCCGCCAACTGAAGACCATTTATTTACCTAAATAGCGGTATTCTCATATCAACTTGTTCAAAAAACTTAAAAACATTTGATACTTAAAAAAATACAGGTAATTATATTTTTTTTTTTAAAGTAATGTGACACGTTAAAAAGATTTTAAGCAATTACCACAATATTTGTACACTTCTATAACATTTATAGCCGTAAATTTTTTGTATAACTATAACAAATTTAATGATCAGGAAAGCCTGTACTATACTAAGGAAGATAATTTAAATATCAGATTAATATACTTCCATTTTCAATCTTTAAAACGTTCAAATTTTTTGAACTTCATATTTGTATGATAAAATACAGCTCAATAGCTGTAAGTGAAGCCTTCTCAACTTAAAATCTTTGCAATTGTGTAGAGAATGCAGAAACACGAAACTCGTTTTAACCTTGTCGGTTACTAGGATGACTTTCTAGCGTATTTATTAGATTTCGACTCCCACCAAAGCTACATTTCACAAAGGGGTATGTTGGAGACCATCTGTTAACTCTAGTTCATGCTTTGCAAGCAATAACAATATAAGCACACTTATGCTCTTAAAACTTTTCTGTATGTTTTTTAGTTGACGTATAGCAGCCGATAATAATCGTAAGGATGAACGACTTAGGGTTTAAAAAACTGTGGGAATTCATTAGATATAGCTCGTACGAGGGCCTGATCATCTCGACTGCTGTCACCTTCTTCACAGAAGATTCGAGCGAAGCAACGCAACAGGTCGTCTCGACGGTGCACGTGGGCACCGTAATCTGTGTTGCGAATTATACCCTGTAGGATCTTCAGGTACTGCTGGCGACGCTGTGGACATTTCAAATACTAATTGTTTAATTTTATTTGACTAACTCCTACTAAAATGTGAGTGGAGGTATGAGTGTGTATATAGATACTTTCTCAGCCTGGTCTCTCCAATTTGCTCGACCTTTATAGTATCCAGATTCGAGAAATAATAAAAAATTAGGAGCTTTCAAATAGTAAGTAATAACAAATAACTTTATTTACACAAAAGGAAGATACATAGTTATTATAAGTTGGCACATTTTAAGTAAGTCCGTTCAAGAAAAATTAGCGTCGTTTAATATATTTAAACTCATTTCAGTTGTCTCTTTAGTTAGATTCAATATTCAAGATTCATATGGGATTAAAAAAAACTGTTACTGATATTTCCGTTGGTGCAATAGTTTGCAAGACCAATTTTACTGTCATAAATTATTGATTGTCTAATCTGCTTGCACAATGTAAACAAACGTTTTTAAGGTCTCTTACCGTGTCACCTGGAGAGAGATCTGCCAATTGCCTGACAATGATGTCAATTGCAACCTTTACGTCATTGGTGTAAAAATGATCAGCTGTTTTATTGCGACTGAAGAGATCAATGACTAGTTTCAAGACTGAATGTGGAGGCGCTGGCTCATGGTCGAAAATATGAACTGGATCCTCTAGAACATTACGTATTTGTTTAATACAAAAAACGGCTATTCCAAGAATGTATAATACAGGTTTTGTACACGAAAAGAGTTATATGACAAGGTTCTAAGTCTTTTATTTATAATAGTTGTGTATGTGAGATTGCCAGTGTTCTTAGAAATAAAGCACATAAACACATCAGATGTTACTTAATTAGACAAATAAACAATGGCATGAAATACACTCTAACTGGTACTCGATTTCGGCTTACGTAAAAAAAATGTGAAAATTTGCAATTATAACAAATTTTTCGTTGTAAGAAAACCACAAAATTATAAAACATCTAGTTAATGATAATAGTAAGAACTGATAGCGGTAGATTACGAATATAAATGCCGCCACTGTCTCATGCCGCTTCGGGCTTTTTTAAATAATGCCAAAAGCTAGATAACTACTAACTAGATATTCCACTAGTAAAAAAGGTGATCGCTCTGAGCCGTACAACTACAGACCTATAGCTCTTTATACCGGCTGCCTCAATATTCCTCGGGAACACGTCATCTAAAGTCGAAACAAACTTGTATCTGAAATTAAAACTTCCTTAGTGGAGGTTTCAGATTGGGGTCGACTAAATATAGTCCATTTTAACCCAAAAAGACACAGGTTTGTGCGTTCACTACAAAAAGATACCGTATGTCGTATCACCTCGGTTAAAGAGCATCTTCCTAACTTCCTCAGCCAGTATCGGAATCCTAGGCATCGACATATCGAGCAAAGTCCAGTTCCGGGGCCACTTAGAGGGTTAGTCAAATTAGCCTCGAAGAATCTCGGTCTGCTGAACAGATCGAGAAAGTATTTCACTCCGGCCCACTGCCTCTATAAGGCGCAAGTCCGGCTGCAAATGAATACTGTTCTCATCTCTATGCAGGGGCACCCCAGTACCAGTTTCTCCCACTGGACCACATCCAAAGAAGAGCGACTCGACATCCCCATCACTTGGATAATTGGCACTCCACCACTATAAGCTTTTCAAGACACTTTTTGCTTTGCACAACCAACCGTGTAACAAGTTATCGCCAGCGGTATTTTCGGACCGATATGACCTTCAAGAAAAGAGCGTACTCCTTCCTAAATGGCCGGCAACGCGCTTGTGACTCATTAGTTGCAGGCGTTCATGGGCGGCGGTAGTCACTTTCCATCAGGTGACCCCTCTGCTCGTTTGCCCCTCTTCCATAAAAGTATAATACAATATTTACGGAAGTATGTTAGAATATTAAAACTTTTGACATCTTGTGTGACTAGAATACTGGATCAGTCTACGAATGTCAATAAAAGAATCGGGTGTGTATTAATGACTGTATTTATTATGCAGTTTTTACCTTCGTGATTAAGAAGCAAAAGGACTTTTTCGCAAAAAGTTTTGGCGATATCCCTCGTTTCCAAAGCGTTAAGTAAAAGATTCTCATACGAGTTGTCAAACTGTAGATTATAGGCGAGCAGCAGCGTTAAGAACAAATCGGGTATCTGCTCATCGACATCAGTCTCCGGCGGGTTTTCTATCAGTTCTAGTACAAACTCTGCGAAATCCTCGCCTAGTTGTTCTGAAATATATGTAATAAATATGTAAATTTTGATAATGAAATTTCAGTATGATTTTTATTATCTTAGATGTAGGTACTTACTTTTTTCTCTTGTGGCTACGTAACGGCAATCTAAAGATTTGTACATCCGAAACCGTCGTAACCGACTAAAAAGGTTCAAGTGATTTCAAGGAGTCTATTAGACACGTTAAGACTGAGTATTATCTTGTCTATATATGTATAATGTCGTTTATAATTTTATGTTTTTTATTATTTCTTTTTGTAGGTAAAATAAAAATAAGCAGCTATAATATAAGTTAAGAGTTAATAAACTGACATATGTGTATTCTAGTTTTAAACATTTTGGTATTTTATACAAAGATTTAATTTGGTACTAAGATATTTTTTGGGTCTAAAATATAAGTTGGCACTATGTGTTGCAAGATTATGTTATTTCACCTGAGAATTTTTACTACAATAAAGTTTTTATACCGCATACTATTATTAAGTCTAATATCAGGAAACCTACATCGTCCTTTATAACTAATAAGTATTAAATAACAGCTATAAAAACAACCTATTTATTAAATAAAATAATACTAGAATACATACCAAAGTGGGTGATAGGCAGTTTGTCCCCCATAGACAAAACCATGGACAATAGTAACGCGGAATGTGAGAGCCTGCTGACAGCGCGGCTATTATCGCGCATGTCTCGCGCTATCTCGGCCGGCAGCGCGGACAGCGCGAGTGTGGCTAGAGCAGTCCTCTCCAAACCACACATCACACCAAATGCCTGGAACAAAATAACCAAACGTGTAACGGAAGGACGACTCAATGTCAAATGGTCTTTATAAGCGCTGAGTATATAAGAATAAACTTAAACTAACTTAAGCTAACCCGTGCGCGATAAGTTAAGACCTGATCCCGGGGCTATCACAAACACGACACGCGTTTGTACAGACACCAGCACTAAAGGCTTTTTGCCTGAGTGTGCTATTTTTTTTAAGTTAATTTTTTTTATTACATATTACATAAAATAAATGTTGTACTCAAAACAACGCCACTTTATATTAATCTTTTATTCTAAAAAAAAAACAATTTTGTTTGCGTGAATTATACTACTACCCTACGACAACGGCTACTAACAATTAGTAATAACACTCAATGTATTTAATTCAGAATTGTAATTTTATAATATTTAAGTGTATCTATTTCCGACAAGATTAACACAGAATGTTACAGAAAGTCTAATACTAATACGATAACAAGATTAACAACAAAATTTAACAGACGGTCTTATAACAATACTATAACAAGATTTACAACAAAATGTAACAAAGTCTAATAACAAAACGATAACAAAATTAACACCAATAACAGGAAATCTGATAACAATAGGAATGCGTCGTCGTTACGTGACGTAGGCCAGTACGGAACCAATACGTTAGTAAAAAAATGGCCTTGCCTACAGTACAACGTGAGCGCTCGAAGGGAAGTGACAGGGGTAGCGGGCGGGGAATCGCATTTCACGCAAGTGTCAACCTATCGCGCACGGATAGTATATCCGATATTATTTCAATAATATCGGTTATATATATATATACTATCCGTGATTAAATATTCATCATCGTCATTTGCAATGAAATTCATTTCATTGCAGATGACGATGATGATTATTCAAAAACGAGAGGATGAATGAGAATGTCAATAACTAATACCAAAAAAAGGTTAATGCTTAATTGATACTCTAGTTTTTTTTTATTTAACTGAATAACTTTTAGTAATTGGTTTTCCGGTGGTGACGAGAAAATTTGGGATTACGATAACCGATTCTATGATGATATCTGTTCGAACTTATTCGTGGATTCCCAACGTTGAAATCTAAAGTCTCTTACTCAGTCGTTAACTGTTCTAATTGGATGGTTGAGGATCTATTACTTGACTAGTTCGAAATCCAACAATAAAACAATGTCAGTTTTATTTTTCATAATGCCCTTGATACGCCCTTCCGTGAAATGTGATTTACCATAATGTGGATTACCATTTAAAAGCTAGAAGTGTCAGGAAAATTGGTATAATTTTTGAACTTGAAAAATGATATAGTTGTTTTAGAGTTATATAGTAAGTTATTTTTTGAACTTCTAGCATAATAAAATTAAAACCATGATTACGGAAAACGAACATGTTATGCAAGTAGATTAACAAAATATTTTATAATTTTTCAAAATATTATATATTTTTCCAGCCTAAGGATACAGCAGCAGTGAAGGTGTTAATGATATAAGATACCCTATGTTCATGTCTGTATTCCTAGCGGCATGTATACAAATCACCATCTATTTCACATATCGGTAGAGTAGTTAAGACGTGAAATTTATGACGTGTTAATATTATAAAAACTCTTATTAAATATAATAATCTTACCTGTAAAAGTAATTGTCGCAAGGGCCATCTAGTTTCCATCTGATAGTACGACACCAAAGTTGTCACATAGGCGTATTTGTGGCTGCTCAAAACATACTGCGAGATGTTTACGTCAGCATTCGACTGCAAAATCATTTCTAATCAGCAATTTAAATGTATCAGGGGTTATTGCATCTGTTATTTATATTAAATATACTTAACTAAAACATAAATATATATTATTTTAGTTATAAAGAGTAAATGAGCAGGCCGTTTAAAACATTTATTTGGTGGAATCTTTTTTTCCTTGAGTAGTCATACGCAGGTCCGCCATCTGGTGACGGCTTATCGTTGAATTTTGGAACATCCCTTGTCGTACCGTCTAGAACAATACGGCTAGCAAATATCCAAGTGCAACGCTATCAAAACTATAACGTTGTATTTAGTGACATTGTAAGTGGCGTTTAGAATGTTTATTCAATAAATTCTTTGGGACGAATTATCATAGACTGCGTTATGTATGTAAGTATTATTTATCGTTTACGTGTGCGTCTATGCGACAAGGATTTCTTCGGATGTACGATCGATAGCACTTTTAACATTATTCCTTTTTCTGTGGGTTTAAGAGTCAGTTGCAAGGTTTTAACAAAGTATAGATTGAGAATAACACTAAACATAGAGAAGAATAGTTTCATTCATACTGTAAAGTGTACTACATTTTTTTTTTAATTCTTACTCACTTAGGTCCAATCGAAGAAATGACCCCCACGGATGACAGGAGGGATGGGCCACGATAATTAACACTTAAGATTACATTGACTTACCATAACAGATATCAGTTCAAGTAATTGCGTTTGTATGTCATGGGCGTCATCATGCAGAGCCCAGCCTCTTTGTTGAGCATCGTTTGCTGCCTTGGAAAGTGAGTTGAGTGCCGTCATCATACGGAGAGCATCTGGAGCTGCGTTAATGGCATTCTTAGGGCACGTTATGTTGCTGTTAGCCTCACGTAAAAGTGCATCTATGATAGATCTTGCTGCTCCGCCAGGAAGAAATTCCTATTGTCGGAATGAATTACATCATTAACTAGCAAAATTTATACATAGTTTGTAATACTTGCATAGGTACAGGCTGCGTGTAAGCAATGCAAACTTTGGTTGGTTATTGGGTGATTTGGCCTAAAATGTATTTAAATTCATCAAGATCGAATTTGACAATAAATTGTAGGTGCAGGCTGTTTCTTCAATCCTATTTTATCAATGTGATCTCTTTTGTTGCAGGTGAATTTACCTATGAGAAAGAGCTTGTAATCTACTTAAGTACATATTGGCATGTCATTTTTATATATTAATACATTAAGAATATTCTTTGAACCTCCCTTTTAACAAATAGGGTACACAGAAACATGTAACATTTGGAAACCTTAATGTTTACATATGGAAGATCATATCATTTATGTGCATTGTTACAAAAATATGGAGTCTCCTTTTAAGTAAAAGAATACCTGAACCAGGAGACTCCACCTTATAGGGTGTCATAGTTGTGAGTTTAGAAATAAACAATCTAACAAGATACAACAATAGGTTATAAATCCGCCTTATATGCTTACAAATATTGTATTTGACAAATTGAAATTTATCAATTACGACTTCCCAAAATGAATATTTGTAAATGAATGGAGAACACACATTGGTTGGAATTTGGGTTCAAAGTATACCTTTTATCAGTACTTATCTATAACACAAGACTATCGAAATAGTCACATAAAACGCTTTAGAAGCGACTCGACCTCTGTATTGTCTAAGACGGTAAGCCATTTCGTTAGGGTGTTTTTAACATTCCTGAATGTGAGGATGTAAATACTTAATAATTTGTAAGCATTACTATAGAGATGGCCAGCTTGATCATTAAATTGTCGACGTGCAAAAGGTCGACTTGTATCTATAATATATATTTCAGCAACATCATAACTTCGAGGAATTTCTCAATTTCTGGGGTTAAAGGGAACATTTTGTGCTTTCTGAGAATAGTATTCATAATATAAAGTTTTCTAATACTTCAGATACTTACTTCTAGTAGTTCAGACATAGAGCATAACTGTACAGTTGAATATCGAAATGGTAGGAAATACATCACCTTTGTTAGACATCGTTGGGCTTTTTCAAATTCAGGAATTCTTGTCTACAGCGCCACCCCATATCGGAGTACAGTACATAATGACAGATTGAACTAAGGCTAGGTAAATTGGTTATAAAAGTAATTTTGAAGAGACATGTCCTATTATTTTAAAAATTCGCATTAATTTCCTAAGTCTATTTGTAATAAGTTCCAAATGGTCAAACCATGACAATCTACTATCCAACATTACGCCCAAATACTTAACGGATGACAATTTTGTTAATATGGGACAGTCACAATCATACTTATAATCTGGTTCATTACATCTATGCATTTTAATGTTAAACTTTATATTAGGTTGGGTTTGGTAGTGAGGGCTATCATAGCATGTAAACCGGTTTCATCCCACGACTACGACTTGCCAGAGAATACAATAGCGGTGTCGTGCGCATATAAAAAAAATACATTTTTTTGCTGTTTATTCTAAGATTGTACAAATCATTTATATAAATCAAAAATAATATTGGACCAAGGACCCTCCCTTGGGGAACCCCGTGTGTAAGCTCCATCTCATCACTAACATATGCAGCAATTTTGACGCGCTATTTGCGGTTACTCAAGTAATCCTTTGGCAAAGCAAGTGGGAGGCCCTTGATGCCAATACTCTCGACTTTGCGTACAAGAATGGGTATAGATACAGTATCGAAAGCTTTTTTTAGGTTCAGAAAGATAGTCAAACATTTTAATTAGTTATCTACCTTTTCTGCTACAAAGGAGCTAAGAGCTGTAACTGGATCTTCAGTAGACTTTCCATGTCTGAATCCGTATGGTAAAGGTGATAAAATTTTAAATTTCTCTAAGTAACCCAATAATCTATTATTTAGAAGGTTCTATTATTTTAGAGATGGTAGGGTAGGATCGAAATTGGCCTATAATTACTGAAGTCGTCTCAATCTCCAGCCTTGTAGACAGGTGTTATAATTGAGTGTTCAAATGTGTTTGGAAAGGTCCCTAATTCAAAACAAAGTTAGTGAGATGGCAAATCACCAGCACCAGTTCGTGTTTACATTTGTAAGGAATTCAGATGATATATTGTCAAGGCCCGCAGAACTATCCGACTGTAAAATCATTGACCTCATTGACCTCCCATGGATCAGTATCTAGCAATACGAATGAAGCTAACTGTGCCGGCGGCGACGTCGGTGTCTGTGTTGTAGGTTATTGACGTGTCATTATTTCGTTCTGCAAGGTTGTTACCGACTTCGGCAAAATATTTGTTAATTCCGTTAGCTGACTCGACTGGAGATCATATGTAATAAGTTTTTATTAGTGCATGCTTGACGATTTATGTTTGTTATTACTTTTATATTTTTCCATTGGGTCTTTGTGTTTTTCGTGGAGCTAGCAATTAATTCCCTTTGGTGTGCTCTTTTGAGTTTTTTTATTAGGTTATTGCAAAAGTTACGGTATCTTTTGTATGTTAATCTAAGAATATTATTTGAGGGTTCAGCTCTTAAATTATTTTGTAGTTTATTTCCATTCATTATGCATCGAAGAATACTACTAGTCATCCAAGGTTATTTAATACGTTTATTCTTGGGCACTTTCACGCATGTTTCAACCTAATTTCCTTAGCTTTTGCGCGTAATTCGGTTTTTACATAGATAACCTCTTGGTCTGGTATATAGAAATTGACTAGGAAGGAAGTATAAACCGTGAGCGGTGGAATTGATTATTTTTTTATGTAACCAAAACTGTCAGTATAATTACATTAACATTAGCACGTAATTGAGCGAGGGTTATATGTCAATCGTCAAAGTTGGCGTAAACACTTCTTATGTTTTGAGATATAACAGTAAAGCCAATTCCATGCACAAACACTTGATTTTGCAGATCCAGAATTTCACAGTTAACCACATTTGCTCTGCCTGAATCATCTAGTTCTTTTTGAGTTATCTAGTTCTTATCCAGTTTATCGCTACGGTCTGATATGATTCAGACATATTGCACATATGCTGATATTAGTATTAACAAAAATATAAGGCTAGTTCGCGCAGATACTAACATGTTTATTAAATGAAACTTTAAAAAAATACTGAATTTATAATAATTGTTGTTTATAAGTATGTATCTTTGACTGAAATCTGTCATTGACGCAGACTTTAATATGATAATTAGGAGGTCGTCAATTATCGTCTAATGGCTCTCTTAGCAGTAGATGAGATAAGTCATTTGGAAATATAGGATTTAAAAAAACTAAACTAATAACCTAAGTATTTTAATGTGTAGCGTAGTAACAAAAGGACACATCATTATAGTCACTTGGATTTAGGCAACACTGATGATAAACACTTTGTGGACCTGATTTGGATGGGTTCAACTTCTTGGCTGATAAAGACAAAACAGAAGTACTGCTCTCTCTCTCTCGTATTTTTCAAGCAATCTTCTTTATTCTTATTTGACAAGATAATCACATCATTAAATGTAGATAGTTAAAGATAATACAGTGTAATGTCATTCTGTCCTTATTTTGTTTACGATGTAGTGTTATCAAAAACATGAATTAGTAACATTTTTATTATTCATACTATTGTATTTACAATAAAAATGTCACTAATTTGTATAAAATTGCACAAAATTTAGCTTCCAAGGATAGTTGGCTTTTTACTTAAAAAATTAGGAATTCTCACAAAACCTAAAGAAGTGAAGTTCATTAATAATTTTATTATATTCTGACAACTTATTTTTTTTATGTTAAATAAATACATTTTTAAATTAAAATCAGATTAGGTTATTATTAGGTAGGCATATAACAAACAGTAAAACTTACTCTCAAAGAAATCAATATGGTTTCTACAGCCACTTTCGACATCTCATGGCTAAGCTGTGTCTCCTTTCTTACCGCCTGTACTAGTTCATAGATAGCATTGGGCTTAATGCTCTCACTACTGTCTTGACTGTCATCCTGAGTGTCAGTATCTGATGACACTTGATTTGATGATAGTTTACTGATATTTGCTTTATTTTGAAGTTCATCATTATCTGAAATTATAACACAACCTAAGGTACACTATGTTTAAAATGTGTAGTAATTGTAACTAGTTATTTTTTACCTCTGTCACATTTTTTTTTTGTATTGGTAGTGGGCCTTGAGGGTCAATTCTGATAACAAAAATTTGATCAAAATTTAGTTCCGATCTACTCTCTATTTTACAAATGACATAAAAAGTATTTTCGTATTAAAATATTACTAAGACTAGCAGATTACCATATCAACTATCGGTCACAATACAATATAATCACATTATAGTCAACATTCGATGTTTAATACTTTACTAACACAAAAATACCTTTTGTGATATTTAGAGTAGATCAGAACTAAACTTTGAATGAACATAATTTTGAAATTATTGTAAGTTGTTTGCTTTTCAACTTACTTTCTTTTAATTAATCTAGAACAGGAATACAAATTCTCTTTTTCTTTGTGAAGAGACATTAAAATAATACATTGAGTGTCTTTAGTTTAAATTGTATCAAATTTTCTAATCTCTCTTTTATATTTTGACATTGTTTAAGTTTGCTTCTTTCAACTATTATTCTATAGCCTTTATCTATTTGAAGACTAATTTTTAAATTAGATAACATTTTAGTTATGAAGCCTTCAAATTATATACACAGAAGCAGAGTAGTACAAATAACTAAGATAGTAATTAACTTTAATTACTACCTTAGTTACTAATCGTCAAAAAAAGTATTTTAGATGCCTGCCTACCTTTACATTCACTTGATGTTGATTTTGTAGGTGACAGAGGCGCCTCATTCTCTTCTGTAATGTGTTGTTGTGAAACTACAGGTCTCAGATCAAACGACGGTGATACACCATTAGGTGGAGTGCTATCATCTAGTCTTGGTGGTGGCTTGGGTGCTTGCATCTTTTTAGTGTGGGGTTTAACACTTAACAGTAGTTGCCTCTTCTTTTCATTTAACTTGGCCACTAATTCTTGCTTTTGAGACATTGTATTGCTATCACTTATATTCTTAAGGCAATCATTAAGAAATCCTAAGTAGAATTCTGTTTCAACCTGTTGTGTATGAGAACAAATAAACACTTATACTACAGACCGACTCTTGTAACATGAGTTTATAATTGAACTAATGAAGTTGGCTTGTTACCTTGACTGCTGCAACGTAATTTGAAGGCACGAATCCCACTTGACCTTTTCTATTAACAACATGCCACCAATTTCGCTGTTTTGTATTACTCTGCTGAAGAAAGAAAAACTCGCCTTCGCAGAAAGACAGTGTCTTCGCTAACGTTGCTTCGAAGTCGTAGAGAGCTTTGAGCATTTCAGAATCATCTAAAAGCAATTGTATTCTTGTCATTAATTGCATCCACACCTAACTAAATAGACTAGTAGTTTAACGTGAAATAATAGTTACCAAAAGTACTATTTATATCAGCCATGATTTTAGTGAGCTGGTTATAACGTTTTAATTATTGTGCTTTAATTCATTTATATCATCTGTGTCACAGAAACGGTTTTGTGTTTGATTATTTTTTAATTCAAAAGCAGTGAAGCACGCAAATGCACACAAATCAATTTTTTCGACATTTGACACTTTTGACATTTGGCTTATTTTCTTTTTCAACTTTGTATACATGTAGATTAAGCATTAAAAAGTAACAAATTTAAAAATAAAAGGATTTTTATGTACACAAGAAGTTTAATAACACAAGTGCATAGACGACCTTTGAGTACAGTAAATTTTAGGATAACGGTAACTCAGGATTGGTAACATTCTTTAATATAAGGTTTCTTCAAGGTTTTTTAAGTTTCGGTTATGTTTATTTGACTTTGTGTTCAGAGGCAACTTCTAGACTAGTCTAGTGGTCTAAATGGAATCTCCCCTATCGGTTTTAATGCGCCTTTTCCGACTCTCGACTTGATTGAGGGTCAAAACAAACTTATGTGTGAAATTGACACTGAATACTGTTCTCATCTCTATGCAGGGTCACCTCAGTACCAGCTTCTCCGTCTGGATCGTATCTAAAGAAGAACGACTCGAATCATCGATAGCCAAAAGATCTCCCGACCGGCTCTATCTTATATATCATGGAGAGTCCAAAAAAAGGCACTTGGATACTTGGCACTCCACCACTGTGCACTTTTCAAGACACGTTTTGCCTCGAACTACCATTTGTGGAACAAGTTATCGTCTATATTTTTCCGGACCGATACGACCTTCAAACCTGACGACGATTCAAGACTGCACGGATGGCTTTCCATTATTTGACCCGTATGCTCGTTTGCCTCCTCTTCCATATTTTTTTTAATAAGTTTGCTATTGACATCATATCTCAGTTAGGTAGTGTCATTGTGCTTCGCTAGGCTCGTCTTGGCGCTTTTATTTTGTATATATGTATATATAATTTATAAATGCTACCTGTTTTATGCCTGAAATAGAAACATAACTTACTTTGGTTATTTTTGTTCATATTAATTTTTTTGATAAATTTATGATTAGGTACGAAACATACAATGTTTTGATTCACAAGTTATCGGTTTAACGAAAAATACACATTTAAGAAGCATTCTAACAAATTTTAATATTAGTAAAAAGGTAAGGACAGAGGTTCATACTTTTTTATGATGCCTACGTTTGGTGTAAGCTTTACTCAAGATTTAGATAGAGCTGACCTTCAAGATTTAGAAAAGAAATTCTTAATTTTAATCAGTCTTTAAATTTAGAACACATTAAATTTTCACTCTTGTCATTTGTTTCTTCTTGGTACCGTTCATTTGAATGACTTGTTTTTATTGTATTGTTTATTAAATAAGAGACAATTTTAATGTCTTTTTAAGATTTTCGATGTAAGCTTAGAAAGTCATACTCGTAGTTGTAACTCGGTGTATTTCTGGTAATTATCCTAAATCTGATGTATGTATAAACATGCAAACAAAGGACAGTCGAAGGCAGTTTGGCAAGAATAGAAATTACTATTGATGCTGTAAAATCTACTTGATAAAAGGTACGTGAATACAATGATATTTTAAGAAAGACACCTTAGATTCATACTGCACGCACAAAATATTTGTTCCGTAACCGTACATAGGTACATCTATTAATTCATTTTAGAACAAAACATACACTTACCTGTGATATTCCTTTATTTTAATTTATATTTTTGTTGAAATTTGTGCACTTTTGGAATACATAGGAAGGCATTTTATGAATTTTCTCCAATTAATTAATACGTGCGCTCGCTCGCAGTAGTCCTAATTAGGACTCTCGCGTTTTGTTTGTTGGTTGCGTATCTACCTCTTGCTTGTGTTTAATATCGTTACGTGAATATTTATTATTTAAGTCTAAAGCATTGATATATTACTTACATAGATGAGTAATTACCGCCTAAAATCGTTGCTACTGCACATCTGTCCACAGGCATATGCGTAGCAAACGTCAATTCAGTGTTCAATGTGGCGTCAACCGAGTTGAACATAGCGACACATGACAGTAACAATCGCCAAAATGGGTAAATGCGTAGTGAAAGAATGCGATTCAAGGTCACAAAACATTAATAAATCATGCAGAATTATTTTTCACGTGTAAATTTATGGTTTTTGTATTGATAATATCGTAAATAAGGCTATAATTAAAATAAAACACTGATAATTGTAATTTAGAATCAGTGTTACCATTAAAAAATCATTTTGGTTTTCCCACATTAGTGGGAGAATTTATAATTTATGAAATAATATGCTTTATACTGTTTTTAAACATTTTGCCAATAATAATAAAATATAGGAAGAACGGTAGTTGTTAGGGCTGGACCGATCACTTTTTTTAGGGACCCGTTGAACGTTCTGGTGCTGGAGACTTTTGTACAAAAGAATTAATTCATTGTTTTACTTAATTTATTATCAATTTTAAATAATAATTGTACAAAATATTAATAATAATAAATGTTGATCATAAAAATAAAAAATAAAAATATAAAATAAAAAAGTAAATAAATATAAATAAAAAAAAATATAAAATATAAAAAAAAATAGTATTTTTTTTATTTGTTTTTTAAATTATAATAGAATTTGCAATACACCCTGGGGATTATTTATTATCAGTACAAGTTGATCATTCACTTTTATTATTAAATGCTATTATTTTTACATACGTAAAAATAAGATTGTATCATGAAAGTAAAATAATATCCACACAAACTTATAAAAAAGAGTCTAAAAGACATTTGTATACAAAACTGATGCTTCACAGCGCAGTTTGATTTTACACTGAATATAAACCCTTTTAACCAAATATTTCCAGTTATTTTATTATTTATACCTATTCTATTCAATTCGAAATATTTTATTTAGAATATTTAAATTAATTTATTTTATTACAAAATTGTTAAAAAAAAAAATTGTTTCTTAGTTGTTATGGGTAAAATTTCATACGGTAGTCAACACTGGCCCACCATCGTAAAGTTATGTCTTTGTCTTTGTCTAATCCGAGCGATGGTATTGTTCTTGTCTCGCGTGTAAATGAGACATAAATATGTTTACTTTCAAATGTTTAGTGGTATCAAAGCTACGTCGTCAAAGTTCAAAAGTGGTTACACTTTTTTCGACGTGTGATAATGAGGTTTGCTTCTCTAGTGTTGTTTTAACTCAATGGTCTAAAGTGAGTAGTTATTGTCCTGTTGACTTCACTAACTATTATCACTAACTATTTATGTTGACTTTGCAATTAGCAAAGTCAGCATAAATTTGATACATTCAATGGTTAACTTAGCTCCGTAGTTTGATGGAAAAAACACAACATCAAAAAAGTCTTAGGAACATGTACGGTTTTCAACTTTTGAACGATTTTTACTAATGTAATATATGTATATATTTTTTAAAATAATAACTAAGCATTCTTTGATGCATTAGTGACTAAAGCAATAAAATCCTTCATTCAAGTTCATTTAATCACAATAATAAACAATATGTATACCGTAACATACGGCGATTGTGCCAGGCCAGGGCAATACCCGGATTTTTTCCATTACCAAGTACTCTCTGGTCCCCCGAGCTGTGTGCAAAAGCGCATTGTCATGCATTAGCGTGAAATCTTGAGCCAGACTGTGCAAATGGGTGAACATAAGGCTCGATGACATCTTCAACTTAAGTTTCAGCGTTCATATTGTCATCTACAAAAACGAGCTCAGTTCGTCTGCTCTTTATAATACCCGCCCATACCATCACTGTGGAGCCACTGTAAGAGTGCACTTCCTGGACGCATCTCTGCCGTTCAGCATTTTCGAGACGACGATGTTGTAGCTTTAAACTTAATACTGTTCTCATCTCTATGCAGGGTCACCTCAGTACCAGCTTCTCCCCCTGGATCGTATCTAAAGAAGAACGACTCGAATCATCGATAGCCAAAAGATCTCCGACCATCTCGGCGGTTAATATCGGTTGACGTCTTGCAGTCAGTTGTATGTATCGATCCTGTCGAGCAGTTGCACTCCTTCCACTCCTTCCTTTTGCAGGATCCCTTGATTTAACATAACGCTGCCAAAGACTCCTATTGACTCCAAAATGCCGAGATACCTGGGACTGATTTCCCACTTGTAGCATTCCTACAGCTCTCTGCATTTGGCGTATGGCGTCGCTCCATGACATAAAAAATGACTCACCACTTTAAAATTGAGTAATTTAAAAAAAAACTGTATATCTCAAAATGATAAAAGTGATATAAATATCAAATCGATCAAGCAACAAAAACACATGAAATCGGGAAAAAATAATTATAACCCGGCAATCTCGTGCGCGACCGTCCCGCGGGGTGACAGACAGTGGCGGGGGCGAGGTAGCGCGTCATTCTAGCACACGGCTACACACGATTCCCTTCCCCGCTACACCACCCGCTACCCGCTGACATCTTGAATACCTCGTCCCCGCCACCGTCTGTCACCCCGCAGGACGGTCGCGCACGACGTTGATGGACTATTGCTTTTATTTTCATGAAAAAAAAACCCAATCGAAAAGTTTCTGTTTTTGAAATCAGCCCGTATATGTTTCAAACAATAAAAAGATTGTATACAATCTACGTTGGCAAGAAAAAAATAAATTATCAATGAAAAATTAAATTAAGATGCAGTATCTGTAAATGATGCGCGTAGCTTAGACTTTTTTTTATGTGTGTATTCGGGTTTTTACTTAAATTATAAAGACTATGTATGAAATATGAACAGCTACGTATAGTTTGTATAAATAACATGATAAAGATACGTTTTTCTATACTTACTCAAATTATATGTGATATCTTCTATATCTATTCATCTTTAAACGCATAGGTCTATTTGGCAAACTTACTCTTTAAAATTTGGTAAAAGTACAAACTCTTCAGCTTTATGATAAGTACCTATTTGTACGTGCAGAAGTTTAGGTATGTTTTAAATACCTAAAACAATAGGATTGA